TTTGAAATATTGAAGATTCAATATCATTGAAATCAATATTCCATGATTCTTTAGATCTCATAAACCACAAAATAAAAAGAAAATCAAAATGTAAACAAAAGTAATAATAAAAATGAAACAAAAAACGAATCAAGAAATGGTAAGGAAGATGAATTTAAATATAGAAATCAAATGTTAAAATTCTAGAAAAATTAAGATAATAGAATAATTTAAAAAAACAATAAATAAATAAAAAGAATTAAAAAATAAGGAAGAGATGCATTGTGTGCGCATGGGGTATTAAAGGCACAAAAGAATGGATTGATCTCCAAAACAATACATGGATGGAGATATATGAGAGGTTCCAAAACAAACCAGTAACACAAGCCTTGTCACGCGTATTCATATTTCCTTTCTTAAATTTTTATCTAGCCGAAAATATGAAACGCTCTGCCGACAAACGCCAATTTCACATCGTAAAATAAACTCTATTGATCTATCTCAGTGAAGTTACAGATCCGAGGCTTTTGTTCGTCTACATAGTTTATGGCAGGGGAAATTTTTGTGAGTTGTTTTGCGTCTGCAATTTGAGTGTGATGTGGAGTGATGAAAAGGTTGCAAATTGGTGCTGAAGGTATTATGAACGAGAGTGGTTTTGTTGCGTGGGTTTTGTTATGAGAATTCATAATGGGATTTGATTATAAATTAGAATTATCTTGGGCCTTTGGATGAAGTAATGTTATTTTCACATTTAATTATTTAATCAATGTCTTGCAATTGTCTTATTATTTTTGAACTTGAATAAACCATGATGGAACCATAATAATTGGAACTTAAATTTTCATGTTGATGTCATTCTTGACTTGAATCCAAAAAACCACACTTGAAGCAAAATCTCACCATCTTTGAATTCTTCATTAAAATCAATCTTGAAATGAACTAAAACCTTTCTTGTTATTTAATCAACCGTGGCCCGTAATTTGAACTTTGGAGTCCATACGACCAAATGCATCCAAGCATGAATCATAATGTTCACATCCTAGATTTATAGGTCATATCTTAGAACATGAGGCCAAATGCCTTAACCTTTGAAAACTTTTCCACTTGACTTCATCAGATAAACTTGCATTTGCACACAAAAACCCTTAAACTAATTCGTGATAAAGATAAATTTAAAATGAAGCAATTCAATTTTGTTTGATCAAGATTAGGTCAAACTCACTTGAATCTCAACTGTTACTGCACACACACTTGCCCTGACAACTTTGAATGCGACTTGATTTATCCTTGCAAAAACCTGAGCTTTGACAACAAGAAGAATGAAAGCAACAACACATTTTTTTAATGCAAGATAGTTAAATAATATGCTAATGATATGATGCATAAAATGACGAAAATGATAGGGTAAAAATGAGGGTTTGACAGTTGCCCATATTTAAATATCTTCAACTGGTCTAGGGGTGTTCAACGGACGTGAAATATTGCTTGGTGCCTAGTTTGGCAATGAAGTCCTGAAATTTTTTGTCCGTGAATTGTGTCCCATTGTCGGTCACGAGAGCCTAGGGTACACTGAATTGTGTGAGAACGTTCCTTTTGTAAAATTGGAGTATGTTAAATGCCATGATTTTAGCGAGGGCCTCAACTTCGATCCATTTTGTGAAGTAGTCGACGAACACGCTCAGAAACTTGTTCTGATATGATCCCATGGTGAAGGGCCGAGTATGTCCATTCCCCACCAGGCGAAAGGCCATGGGGAAGACATAGTCTTCAACTCATTGGGAGGTTCTAAGTGTATGTCCCCATGGTGTTGACATCTATCGCATTTTTTGACATGCTCCTTCGTGTCATGCTGCATAGTTGGCCAATAGTATTCAGCCCGAAGGGTTTTTCGTGCCAACGATCTTCCTTCTAAGTGTTATGTGTTGATCCTGTCGTGAATTTCTTGGAGAATGTCTGAGATCTTATTCTCTTCGACGCATTTTAAGAGGGGGATGGAGAATCCTCGTTGGTAGAGTTTGCCTTTGACCAGGACGTATGAGCATGCCCTTCGTTTGGTTACGTTGGCCTCTTTACTATCTTCGGGCAGCCTTCCCGTGGTGAGGTAGTCATGCATTAGAGTCATCCAACAATCGATATCGCCGATGGCATTAACATCGGGAAATCCTGTCGGTTTTGTGATGCTCGGATGAGGAAGAGTCTCCTGTATGACAGACTTGTTGCCATCCTTCCTTTTGATGCTGGCTAGCTTTGATTATATGCTGCCCGAGCGTTTCTTTCGCGGGTAATGTGCTGGACTTCCCACGTTTTAAACTTGGATATCTTTTTTTGCACCAATGTCAAATATTCGGCGAGGTGGTCGTTTTTGGCTTGATACTCTCCCCGTACTTGGGATGCTACGAGCTGAGAGTTTGTGAAAGTAGTTGGCTGAATATTTTTTGGGATAAGGGATACATGTTGTATAAGATTTGAATGAACTTGAGAAGGTCTTACCTTTAAGATGATTTTCTAACTCTACATTGCAACGCACGCGTGACTTTGTTACCCTTTAGCTCAATGAATGGCAATGATGATACAATTTTCCATACTAGGCACAATTGACATCCAATTCTCTAACTTGTTGAATCTTATTTTTAAACCATAGATTTTATAATATTAGTTAGTTATTGAGTGACATACATGACGTCTCATAGTCCGCTATCAATATATTATGTGATGAAGGACATAATAATTACTATTAATTGTTTAGGTGGAACAATCAATTCATTGCCATAATTAACGGTAAATGTGGCATTTGTGGTAGATTATTCGGTTTAATAAGGGTTTGACCTCTTTGATATCAAAGTTGAAGATATATACATGTTGTTAAGGCTTTTACTAGAACACACATGTATATGCTGATTGATTTGTGATAGAGCAAACTAAATTTTTTTATAATATTGATAATAGTATTTCACCATACATGCCAAATTTGTTGTCAAACTAAAAAGTTAATAAAAGAATCGACTAATTACTCTCAACTATAATTTTTCTTATGCGCTTTAAACCATGATAACAAATAAGAGACGTTGTTTCCTACTCGTTGCTTTCTTAACCATTCAAAGACTTTAAGCACGTATATTTGATTTTTTTTTCATGATTTATTAAACTGAAAAATACATAAATAAAAGTAAAAGTTAAATATAAAAGATAAAATGCTAGAAATAAACTTGTTTGATTGATTGCATGCAAAATGGATTTTATAAAACATATTTATAGGTAAAGTTATTCCTACTTCGCAAAACACTGTGACATTCAAATGGACAATATGCATTTTTTTCTCATTATAGAGTGTACACGATGCTCGATGTTTGACTTGTTTTCTCTATCTCTCAATATTTATGTTTTCCACATCCCACACACGCATTATAAGTTAAGATTATTCTCGTATAAAAATAATTGTTCAAATTAGTAGAGCCATACACATAAAACACAAATTATAATGTTGAATCGTCTAATTTCATATGCCTCAACCTATTTTGACATTTCAACATTAGTCTAACTTGTATTTAATTATCTTTAGGAAGAATATTTGAAATTGAATTTTTATCTAATTGTTGTACTGTTTAATTAAAATGAAGTACGACCAACTTTTGATTTTTCAATTTTATGGTTTTAATTAATTCAAAATCAATTTTAGTTGTGCAAAATTTACACATTTGGGAAAGCCTAAGATAAAAAAATATATTCTATATCACAATCACACGCAAGTCGTTAAGCTCTTTTGATCAAAACGTAGTAAGACCTAATTCCACATTTCCAGGTTTCAGGTTAAGCTCTCTTCCCCATTTCTATTTTTCTTCAATCTTCTACGTTCGCCGAATCTCTACGATCCGATACCAAAACCCTAACTCTAACCGGAAGACGCCACTCTCGTAGATCTCTCGCAAACTCGTTTTCCCCAAGCTCGTTTTTCTGCAATCCCGTCCTTTCGCTTTTCTAGGGTTTCTACGACCCTCTTCCATTTATTCTCATTTAAGGCAAGGTATTTCTCCTATAAAAATCGTCAATCGTGCAGTTCAATTCATTTGCAAACGATATTGAATAACTTATTAGCTGTTGTTTGATTTTTGAATATTCCTTTGGACCCTGCTTAGCACTTTGAACGTGTTATTGTATGCATGTGCTTGTTGGATCCTCTTTTCTGCAAACGGTTAGTTTTTTTATGTATAAGGTTGGGGAAGAGTTTGACAGAGTTGATGTAGCACTTGCTAATGGGTTGTGAATATAAACGAAGTTAATAATTGTTTTCTAGTAGTATTGTATCTGATAATTTAGCAGATATGATAGTTAAAACATAAAGCTTTAGTAGAGATTTTTGACGGGAGGTGAAGTTAAATGGAAAATTTTATGCTGTTTATTTTAGTATAATTTAGATGCTGAGAGTAGGTAGTGTAGTGTTGTCAATTGTGGAGAATGTGAGTTTGGTCAAATCTTTTACTATAGGACTACCGTAGCTGCAATTTGATTTTGAAAATACTTTGTACAAAATTGCATATGGCGGAATGACATTGTTTGTTAAATTTCTGCTACACTATGTTTAGTGCCATTATATCAACTATTTGACAGCACCAACAGAAGGGTGGCTACTGAAAGTGTTGAATGAAAATGGTGTTTTGGATGAGTGGCAGCATACTACAATGGTTATAATTTGCAATGAGATATGAATCTCCTTAATTTTGGTTTTGGATAAGGTCTTGGAGTTTTGAGATAGTAGTAATGAGAAGGGTTCTCGGGAATTTGCTTTCGCAAGACTTTATATTTAAAGAAATCAGCATGCGTAATTCCTGAATGTTCCTAAAAATTTAAGAAAAAGTTCAAATCATCTCTCTTTCCCCCTCAAAATTTAGTGGCAGTGTTACGTTATTATTACAAACATATACATAAATAGTTGCGGTATCTCACATTGACGAGATTATTGTTTTTGTCCCTTTTTCATCAGGCCGTTTAATTGGATTGAATGTCCGTGTGGATACAACCAGACTATGACTTCAAGCATGTTGAATGGGGAACGAAGGTACTTTTGGACTTGTGTGCATTAGAACCCACTAGAAATGGGATAGTGATGAGTGATTTGGGCATTCAAAAGCTAATTTATGCTTTGTTATGCATATAATGTTATGATACATCTTTGTAAAAAACTAACTGTTTTTATGATCATATGATTTTGATGCTGACCACTTGGTTCCTTAAGCGAGGAGGTTTCAAATTTTGACCCCTCCTTTATGTGTACGTGATTGTATTTTCATTAGTTGACTGAATAGAAATTAATGTTGATAATATTGCACAGGTGGGCCTCTTCCACCAGAAGGGGTGGTATGACCGTGTTAGGGAAAGTTGCTGTTCCAAAACCTATAAATTTACCCAGTCAGAGGTATTTGACTTCTGGCTTAACTATATACTTTTTCAGTTAATTAGTATGGTCAGTTCATGATCTATTCTAAACATGTTAATTTTTCTTTGTTTTAAGGTTAGAAAATCATGGCCTAGACCCAGATGTGGAGATTGTACCCAAGTGAGTAAATGTTTTTATTAATCTGGGTAGTAAGTCTTTTTTTTTTTCTGCTGCTTTTGTTCCTCTAGACTAGATAATTAATTCTTGTGTTGTATTATGTGGTTTAGGGGTTCCCTCAGTTGGGGCAGTAAATCACCATCTTCTGCATTAAATGCATGGAGTTCTTCTCTATCTCCAAATACCAGTTGTGGTACTAGTTCACCCAGTCAACTGAGTGCCCGTCCATCATCCGGTGGAAGTGGAACCCGGCCTTCAACTTCTGGTAGTGATAGGGCTTCTGAACTAACTACTAGAGCATGGAGGTCAAACTCCCGGCCTTCATCATCATCTGGGGTACCGACGTCAAGTCAGACTTCTCAGACATCATTACGTCCTCGTAGTGCTGAAACAAGACCTGGTAGTTCAGAATTATCTCGATTTGCTGAACACACGACTGAAAATTCAGTGGCTTGGAATGTTGCTAGAACTACAGAGAAATTGGTAGGCTTCTGTTCTTTTTTTTTGCAGTTGAGGTTTATGATACTATCATTAGTCACTTCATGCAATGCTTTTGTGGTAATTTATGGTACTTATAGATTGTTAGATTGATTTAACCAATGCTTAAGATGTTGCATGAACTATGAGAACAATTGACGTGTGAGTTTATTCTCTTGTAGCTAATGAATTTCCATTTCGTACCATCTATCTTTCTATGGTTTGGGAACGATACAAAGCTTATCACCGGGCATAGTTTTAGGTAACTTAGTGTTGGAACATCTATAAAATATGTCGGAACATTTTTATTGCATCTTCACTTTTTTTAAGAAATTAGATTGGACAGTCGTTTTGAACAGAGCACGTAGTGATGTTTAATTCATATGGCTTACCACCATTTAATGGGAAAAAGGACTTTTATTGTGGTTGCTATGTTTGACACTCAACTCACCAATTGAGTAGACAATTGTGAGGTTCTTTCGTAAGAACACAGGCAGAGGGAGCACTGCGTCACATTCTGAGTGTCCATCACAGTTTCTAGGACGGATTTGTGGCTGCTACATAGATGAAGATCCAACTTTGCTTCTCGTTCTGTTTTCCCTTTCTAGGAAAATCCACTGTCCACCTGCTCCCACCTCTTTTCTACTTTCAGAGCCCACCTGTTTTTTGGTGATATGAGCCGGTGGTTTTCTGGCTAAGTCCCATCTTCTTTCTGACATGTTTTTTGTTCCCATCCTGGTATTTTCAGCAACTTACTATTTGTCTTTACCCTCTGATGGTTCACAGATACCCTATGTTGATTCGGTTCCAATCTTTTCTCCCTTGTTCACGGTCTGATTCAATACATCTTTGATTCTGTTTTTTCTTCCTTTTTTTTTCTTTGGATGTGATGTGTACTTAGCAGTTAGCACCTGCCAGTCAACAAAATGCTAGATTTAGCCTCACGAGTTTATTCATATTATTCTTTTTTAACTTCTTTCCAGAGTGTATTCTGTTCTGCCACTGTATCTAGCTTTGATTGATAATATGTCTTTTAGTATGGGGTCCTGTGTTTTGGAAAAAAATGTGTTTATATATTTGTGTCGAAATACGAGAGAAACAGAGACATTTAGAGAAACCATGTGTCTGACTAGCACTACAGAAGTTGTATTATATAGTGAATTACATATCTAATTGTATTACTTACATAATGACTACGGTATATTTGAGGAATATACTATGGAATATTCTATTCTAAGTATATACAAATATCAATACTCCCCCTCAAGCTGGAGCATACAAGTCAAATGCACCAAGCTTGACACATATATAAGTAGTTCTGGGACCTCGTAGGGACTTTGTAAAAACATTTGCTAATTGATCATTAGAGTTGACAAAGCTTGTGTTGCCTGATTCAATCTTCTCTTTGACAAAATGGCACTCTATTTCCAAACGAAAGTTGTAGAATATGGCTTTGATTGATAATATGTCTTTTGGTATGGGGTCCCGTGTTTTGGAAAAAAATTGTATTTGTCTGTTTGCTTAATAAACTTTAGTTATGTATCCATACTCTTTTGAATATTAGTGAGCAACCGTGCTGTCAGCTTCTTTGCACCGTTATCAAGAATTGGCAACCACTCCTTGTAGTATATTGGGGAAATGTTCAGTCATGTAATTGTAAAGTAATCTTCTGGGTTTTCTTAAAAAAAGTAATCTTTTAAAAAGTGTTTGGCTAACATTTATAACATTCTCAAAAGTAATAAATAAAAGTGGGACGTTGAGTTAGTTATCATAGAAATAAAAAAACCGTTAAATATTTCATCCACACCTCATTGGAATATACTTTCCTAATCACTTTCTTAGGAATAATTTTTTTATCCTTGTAACAAACGTAGGAATACGCAGTAATGGATCCTCTCAGTTCCCCCCCTCCCCGCACGTTCTCTCAAGTTTTCAAATCTCAATCCTTCAACCTCTTTTCTCCTTTTATTTCATTGTAAATCCTCTTTCTCTCTCCTTTCAATGGAAGCTGGGAATTCCAGTGGACTCTCATGTGACATGAGAGGATCCATTCTCAGAATACACATTTCCTACCAATATATTCCTGGAATGTGTTTTGAATAATTTGACAAATATCCTTATTTTTGTGAATTTGGAGATGAACTAGTAAGAGTAATGCTACAGTAGTATTTGACATTATTTGTTAAAATAACATAATTGAGTCATTAACTCTTTCCAAATCTCTTTGAAGTTCTTCTGTTGTAGTTATTTGAAGGGATGTTATGATTTATCATCTGTATCTGATATTGTACTACTGTCCTGATGTAGGGAATTAAACAATGCAAGAATGAAAATTTTTCTTTGAGCTCTGGAGATTTTCCTACTCTTGGTTCTGAAAAGGACAACTCTGTACCTGATTTTGAGTCCCAAGGTAGCATATTATGCATAAATATTATCGGTATTAAGGTGATTATGATTTTATATTAATTGACAATTTCAAATAAGATAATAGTGCTACATTCTTTGGTTTTAGTTGCATTTGTATTTTATCGATTTACACTGCATACATTTCTCATTGAGTGGTTGCTGTTACTACAATGACTTTGCCTAAAATTTTCTGGTTTCTTGTTTATGTTGTTTGGTTTTTGTTGATGTTAGACATGCAGAAAGGTTGGCATGTTCTATTATATGACTTTTTCTCCTAGTTTCTAGGTGTTTTCATTTGCAATTGGCTTGTGAGGGTGTCTGATCCTCTTGCTTTGTACTATTCTTTCTTTAGTAACATTTCTTTTTTAACAAAAAAGGAAAATTTTTATGGGTAGCACATATTGTCTTTAGTTTAAGTTGCATATATACATTTAAGTTTGGAAGTTCAAATTTACCTTTTCCGTATCCGTTCGGTTTTCCACTATATTTTGTCTTAGTGTTTTTGCTGTTGTGTTCTGTAGTTTTATATGACATAAATTTTGAAATGGTTGGGGGGTTTAAATCATTATTTATTGAATAATTGGACTGCATTTTAGTCTTGTTATCTAAAGCTAGAGTGACTTTAAGATCAAGATATTAGAATATCTTTGTTGAGATCTAATGACTGACTTCAGAAATGGTTGAGATTTAATTTATCGTTTGTTGTGAAATATTTATGTACCATTCACAGATCACAGTTCTCATATTCGGCCTGACTCTTCTGCTGGACTTGGGAAAGAGAAAAATGAGACCTCAACTGTTGGTTTGTCTTCATGCTCTTGCTGTTATATTAATACATGTTGCTTTAGTTTTGGTTCTGCCCATTTCTCCTAAGATTTTGTGATTTATCATTGATTGTCATGATTTTGTGTTGCTTGTGTTACAGATGATGTTCCTGTTCATGAAACTACGAAGGGTGAAACTGAAAATTCTTGGAGAAGAGCCGATCAGGCTTTCAATGAGGATGGTATAAGGCCTGTAATAGAGAAATGGAATGGGAATCTCCATCCCTATCCTAATGCTGGTATTCTTCCTCAGCACTTTGATGTTTGGCGTGGTGCTCCAGTAAATAACCATCAACGTGATGTTTGGTTCAGAGGCCCACCTAATGGTCCTCCTTTTGCAACCCCTGTTGCTCCAGGTGGCTTTCCAATTGAACCATTTCCATTTTATCATCCACAATTTCCACTTACTGGTTTTGCGAATCCATCTCAAGTTCCTCCTCCTGGAAGTGGTCCAAGAGGGCAGCCTAATAATGGGGATGTCTACAGGCCTCATATGCCTGATGCTTACATTCCTCCAGGCATGCCATTGAGACCTGGTTTTTTTCCTGGCCCAATGACCTATGAAGCCTACTATGGTCCTCCAATGGGCTATTGTAATTCCAACGAACGAGATGTCCCTTTCATGGGAATGGCAACTGGAGCTTCTGTTTATAATAGGAATGCAAGTCATAACCTACCCGAGCCTGGCATTTCACATGGTAGATCTGGTGGACATGGTCCTGTAGTAAAACTATTAGCATCAGAGCAGGTAGAATCCAGTCATACTCCTGATACCAGACCATACAGAGTTCTTCTTAAGCAACACAATGAGTTGGATGGAAAAAATGAACCAACAAACTGGGAGGACTCGTTAACAACGAATGCATCACATGCCAATGAGAGGGACCAATCAAGATTGCCTGTCCAGGAGAATGATCACAGAGGGAACATGGAGATGGATTTAAGGAGGACAAGTGCTCATAGCAAAGAAGCTTCTTCTCAAGCATCGGGAAATCAAGGATCTATTTCTGTAAAAAATACCAAGTCAGTTGAAAGTGCTGGAAGCTTTGATAATATTTCGAAAAGGAAAATGGATGTTGTCAGTTCTAATAAACTAGGAATTGCCTCAAGACTGTCTGCCCCTAAAGATTCTACTCTAATTCGAAAGATAGAGGGTTTAAATGCAAAAGCCAGGGATATTTCATCCACTAAAAGTAAAGATGATAGGATGAATAAGTTTCACACTGGTAGCCAAGTGGATAATGAAACAAGTGCTGGTGTTGTATCTCGTGAGACAACCCTTGCCACTGAAGTAAAAAATTCAACAGTTCGTGGAGTGGGTGCTTTTGGAGGCGAAAAGAATTTGAAGTCATCATCTTTCAGTGAAACACCTACATCCAGGTTGGCCATAGTTTCTTTATATCAACTGCTCTAATTGTGGTTCCTTTATCGTGGTGAAAGTATTGAAATTCTCTTGCACAGGCAAATTTCTCATGGCATGCAAGGCAGATGCAACGATCGTAAGGGGAAGCTCGATACTCAAGATGTTGATGGTTGGGAAAAGAAATTTGGGGTCATAGATTCTTCACCATCATCAGGTACGCATTTGGAAGCATCTAGCATTCTTGTAGGTGAGCATCAAATATCTGTTGATGCCTATGAAAGGTCTGGGTTGTATAGCCAAGTAAGGCGTGAAGGAGTACCTGTGCAAACCTTATCTGATTCAGCCAATAGCTGTGAACAGGTAATACATTCATTTTTTGTGTAGTAGCTACTTGTTATGCTTGCATTTAACTCTTGCACAATTTTTAAATCTTCAGCGTGCTATAACAAAAGAGTTATCTAAGCAGCAGACTAAGCAACTGCAGGTGGAAGAGGAGGACCGTACTAAAAAGCAAAGGGCTAAATCTCTAGTGAAGTTAGAGGAGGTAAACAGGCGCACAGAAGCAGTGGAAGGATCAATGCAGAAAGCGTGTGCTGCTAATTCTCCACTACAGAATATGCAAAAAGAGTTTCAACTTTCCGAGTCTCCAACAGTATTGGGCAAATCCGGGAATGTCAATTCTTCTGTAATTCCTAATGATAATGGAAACCAGAAAAAGAAGAATAACAGGAATAAGAAAAACAAACAGAAAGTTAAAGACATTTCATTCTTGCCTGCATTATCAACTGCAATATTGAAGGATGCCGGTTTTTCTACTAGCTCTGTTGAAAATAAACCCAGGGAAGACATCGAGGTAGATCAGGGATCACTTCAGTCGTCATCTTTGTACAAAGATCCAAACCAGTATTCAGAGCAAAAATATTCAGAATTTGAAGAATCCCATGGTAAAATAAATAACCTGTTGAAATCACAGCATTCTCGAAGGATGCCAAGAAACATGCAGGCTAATAATAGATTAACAGAGAAATCCCATGGGAGTGATGCTTTGATGTGGGCACCTGTTAAACCCCCGAACAAGGGCATCTTGGATGAATCAAGTGAGAAAAGTAAAATTGAGGCAATTGTTCCTGCAAAGAGTGATCAGCAGGTGCATAATTTAAGAAATAAGAGGGCTGAAATGGAGAGATATGTTCCAAAACCTGTTACAAAAGAAATGGCTCAGCAAGGAAGTTCACAACAAATGGTATCCTCAATCAGTCAGGTTCCTAAGGATGAATGTGTTGAAGGAGTTGATTATGGTTCTCATGGTCCCCAGATAACTCAGAATACTATTTCAGGTGCTGGAGTAGTGGGTTCTGTCCCGGAGTCTAAATTTGGAGATAGCAGGCCGACTAGGGGTTGGAAGGGAAAATCGCATGGATCATGGCGGCAAAGGAATTCAACAGAATCAAAAGATGTGCACGACATGCTAGATGGAGTGAACCACGGTTCAAGCTCCTATCAAAATATTCAGATACCGATGGAGCGTAAGAAAGTGCAGATGTCTGAAACAAGAGGGCAATGGAAGCATGTTAGTGACACTAGCAAACCTGATGCCTCAAACAAACCAGAGAATCATGATTTAGTTGTTTCAGTTTCTGTTCCTATTATCGAAGATCATAAAGGAACGGTCAGGGAAAGGCAGGTACGTTTTAGGCGACAGAAGGGCACGGGTTTGAGCCATGATGTTGATCAGAAGAAAAGGGCTGGGGAGACAGGGAAAACTGAAACCATGATACCATCTGCTGTGCATAATCAACCAGATATGAATGCTGTTCTGAAGGAATATCAAAGTATTGAAGAACGTGGGTCATCACACTGGCAACCCAAATTTCAGGCATCAAATAATCAGAGAGGAGATAGACCCAAGAAAAAGGAGTTTACTCATGGTGGTTCATTTCCAGGTGGTATAGACAAGGATTTTGCGGCACACCCTCCCAGCCAATCAGTTTTTGAGAAGAGCCAGGGTAGAGAAGCTCCAAATTTTAGGAATATGGAGGTTAAAAGGGAGAGTAGAAATGCTCCACCAGAAAGACATCCCCACTCCTTAAATCAGGTAGCTGTTAGCTCAAGTGAGCAGGCTCCAACAAGTATGGCTCCCAGGAATCAGCATCAATCATCATCTGGGGTTCGCCGAAATGGAAGTCAAAGCCATTTTGGGAAGGGGCGTGAATTTAAGGAAGATTGGAAATCACATGCGCAAGATAACAGATATCATCAAAACCGGGAAACACAAGGCCCTCCAAACTTTCATCACGAGTACCACTCTTTAGGACCACAGGGAGACAGCAAATCAGACAACTCTGGACGACCTAAAGATGGTTACTGTCATGCCAGGGGAAGATTTAGGGAGAGGGGTCAAACTCACTCAAGACGAGGTGGTGGAAACTAGCTTAGAGTGGTGGTTTCAATTCGAAGATGTTCCAACATGGTTTGTATGCTCCACCAGAAACCATACATTTAATGCTTTGTTCAGCCATGATCGTTGGGTCCTTTGAGTTATGGATGATAAATGCAGTTGCATCAGTTATGTTCTGATGGTCGGTAGGCATTGAGCAGGGCGGCGAATAATGGAGATGAGGCCTCCCTCTTTGGAGGCTGGGGAAGTAGTAGTTTTGATGGCTCCCCTGTAGTTTATTAGTTTCTGATTGATAGTTATTTGGTGGAATGACTTTTTTTATTGTTTCACCGTGCCTCTCACTGATTCCTACCCAACACAGTGGTCCATTAACTCCACTCTTTCTGTTCCCTTCCTTTTTATTTGTATTATTATTATTATTACTATAGGAATATCAACTACTTGTTTATTTTTTATTATTTAATTAGAAAATCCTATACACAATCAAAATTATTTTCACAATTTTTATAGAATTTTGTTTGGAATATAAAACAAAATATAAATACAATAATATTTTCTTAATAAAAAAGAACAAGAAATAATGATAAAGGTACAAAATATTTTTCGAACCCCAAATAATTGGTCATTTTTTAACTTAATATTTGTGTGCACCGGGAACACACTCACCATAGGAGAATATATGATATAATATCAATAACACACTTACATAGAAGAATGTATGATATAATATGAAGGGGACTACTCGTTCCACTCCATGGACTGCGGTGCACACTTTTGAAAATCTAAAAGTATCTTTAAATGTGTTGAAAATTTAAAAGTATCTTTATCAGTGTTTTGAGATGAATTTTCAGACGTATTTAAAATCACATCAATTTTTATATTTTGGTTAGTTATATTACTTTTGTCGAATTTTTTTCTGGAGATACATCTCTATATATTTTCAGAAATAAAATTGAAGATGAATTTTTGTAATATTCATGTTCTTATTTATGGTATTTTTATTTACTAAGCTAGCTTATTTAATAGTTTAGTGACAATTTCGTAGATGCATATTCGAAAATGTCAAGAGTTGAATCTGCACACACCGGAGAGAGAAACTTTCCCCATACCCCTACACTTATACCTATACCCCTACATTAAAAATTTTTGGACAAAAATATCTTCATATAAAAATTTATTATTTTTTTCATTTATTTACCGGAAGACTTGCAACAAGTCTTCCGTTCATATTTTTTTACTTGTTTACCGGAAGATTTCCGTTTGTTTACCGAAGACTTTTTGGGAGTCTTCCGGTTCATGTTTTTTTTTAATATTTAATTAATATTTAAGATTTATTAATTTTATATAAAGACCAATTTAATGAATTTTTGTCTATTATACTTAAAATATAAAAATTCTATAAATAGAGAATCATTTTCAGAATATTTTCTATTTGCTATAATTATTAGAATATTATAAGATTAAAATAATTTATTTTAAATGATCATAATAGTAAAATTTTCTCAAATATCTTATTAATCTTAAACTTTAATAAATAAAATAAATTTAAATATTGGATATAAGTTTACATTATTCAATATATTTAATTAAATAAAAACATATGTGATAAATCAATAATGTATTTTAACTTAAAATGATCACAATAAGTTAACTTGCAAAATAATATAAGTAATAAATTAATAATGTATTTTATTTAAAATAATCACAATAATAGAACAAACAAATAATGTGTTTTATTTATAGGACTGATATAGTTTTATTGATTGTTTAATTTTGAATACTACTATGAATATAGTATTTAATCTATACTTTAGAACTCACATAATTATAAATATAAAACAATATTGTTTTATTACCCATATTTTTATTTAATTAAAAAAAATTAAGAATATAAATTTATTATTTCTTTTTCATTTTTGTTTGATCTTTTTTTATTTATAACTTTTTTGCATGTTCTATAATGTGCTTACTTTAAATAAAATATATTATTTATTTATATCTTATATTTTTACTTTATTAAAAATATTAAATAAAGTGAAATTATTACTTATATTTTAATTTGGTTGATTTATTTAATTGAAAGTTCGATTTAGTTTTTGTTTTTTGCAAGTTATATTATTGTGATCATTTTAAATTAAAATACATTATTGATTTATAACATATATTTTCATTTTATTAAATATATTGAATACGGTAAATTTGCAAGTTTAGTAAGATTTGTTTGCAAATTCTAAATATATAATACTAATGTGATAATATTATGATAATTATAGCAAATAGAAAATATTTCTAAATTTTGTTTTCTATTTATAGAATTTTTATATATTAAGCATAATAGATAAAAATTTACTAAAATGGTGTTTATATGAAATTAATAAATCTATTATGCTTAATATATAAAAATTCTATAAATAGATTTTTTTTTTTTAAAAATATTTTCTATTTGCTATAAAATATATAATACTAATATTATCACATTAATATTATATATTTAGAATTTGCAAACAAATCTTACTAAACTTGCAAATTTATCGTATTCAATATATTTAATCAAATGAAAACATATGTGATAAATCAATAATGTATTTTAATTTAAAATGATCACAATAATATAACTGCAAAAAAAAACTAAATCGAACTTTCAATTAAATAAATCAACCAAATTAAAATATAAGTAATAATTTCACTTTATTTAATATTTTTAATAAAATAAATAATATATTTTATTTAAAGTAAGCACAGTATAGAACATGCAAAAAAGTTATAAATAAAAAAAAGATCAAACAAAAATGAAAAACAAATAATAAATTTATATTCTTAATTTTTTTTAATTAAATAAAAATATGGATAATAAAACAATATTGTTTTATATTTATAATTATGTGAGTTCTAAAGTATAGATTAAATATTATATTCATAGTAGTATTTAAAATTAATAAAACTATATCAGTCCTATAAATAAAACACATTATTTGTGTATTCTATTATTGTGATTATTTTAAATAAAATACATTATTAATTTATTACTTATATTATTTTGCAAGTTAACTTATTGTGATCATTTTAAGTTAAAATACATTATTGATTTATCACATATGTTTTCATTTGATTAAATATATTGAATAATATAAACTTATATCCTATATTTAAATTTATTTTATTTATTAATGTTTAAGATTAATAAGATATTTGAGAAAATTCTACTATATATCATTTAAAATAAATTATTTTAATCTCATAGTATTCTAATAATTATAGCAAATAGAAAATATTCTAAAAATAATATTCTATTTATAGAATTTTTATATTTTAAGTATAATATTCAAAAATTCACTAAATTATTCTTTATATAAAAGTAATAAATCTTAAATATTAATTAAAAATTAAAAAAAACATGAACCGGAAGACTTTTAAAAAGTCTTCCGGTGAAAAAACGAAAAAAAATAAGTCTTCCGTTAAACAAACGAAAAAAAATGTGAACCGGAAGACTTCCAAAAAGTCTTCCGGTGAACAAATAAAAAAATATGAACCGGAAGAGTTGTAAAAAGTCTTCCGGTAAATAAATGAAAAAAAATAATAAATTTTTATACGAGGATATTTTGGTCCAAAAAAATTTAATGTAGGGGTATAAGTATAAGGGTAGGGGTATGGGGTAAAATTTTCCCCGGAGAGTTGATTGAAAAACAGTGAAGATGATTTTTGTCGAGATTGAGACACTATGAACCAAATGCTCAGAAACTAACATAATGAGATACAAACATCTTTTCGAGCTGTTTTTATTTTGCTCGGTAAAGGATATAACCACACATTTGTCCGCCAACAACACTATACGAAAAAAGAACATTATAATAAAATTCTCAATGCTCATGTTCACCGTGTTAGTGACCCACACGATTGAAAAATGGACGCCTTTCTCTAAAATGAAACATCTTATAGCAAATGCTTATGATAAGGTGTGTATTGGTTTGATACAATATGATTTCTCGAAAACATTTTTTATATTTAGGAGTAAGTCATCTCTAAATCCAATCAGACGCATCATATGTATTGGGTGACTTTCGAAATCACAACATTTTGTTCAAGTTTATTTAAAATCGAGGTGTCCTATACAAAAGACATCAGCAAAATGGATGACTCATTTTGCAAAAGAGGCTGAAACTTGACCGAATCACTTTTTGAGAAGGATGGAAGAGTTCACCAAGTTAAGCGACATTGAAAGAGAATCAGATAAGAAAAGGTAAAAAAGGAACCACAAATAGATATAGATTTAGGTAGTCAGACATGTTTTGATGTATTTTAATTTTTATCTAACAATGTAACTCGTTTTTTGTTGTAATATTGTCAATTATGTAATTTCGATACTGATAAGTTCAAGCTTTTGAGATTGAAATTAATTTTGGTAAAACTAACTTGACAGTAAGATGTTGGACAAAATGTCCTAACATGAAGAACGAACTGAAGAACAAGATGTTGGACAAGATGTCCTATCATGATGATTCAACATCTTTGTCTGTTACTTTGCAGTTTTGATACTTATTGTGGGAATATTTGTTTATCCTAGGTGGGGTTCAAGATTGAAGAAGCAAAGATTCTATTTGAATTTGAAGATGCCGTTTTTAAGTGTGGAGACATTTTAGGAAAATTTGGATTGAAGAAACTATTCTTGAGTAGAATAAGTTGCAGATTCTGTGTAACAAAATTGCTGCATTTTTGAAGTCCAAATTCAATCTAGTTTATGATTATAAATAGGATAAATTTAACCTAATCAAAGTGTTGAAAATAATTGTTGCTTAATGAGTTTTAGGGTTTATGTATTTGTGAGCCTCTCTTACATCGTGTTGATACTAGAGTTGGACTGTTTTGCATTGAGTTGTAATTTCTGTCACTGTTGTGATTGAAAGAGAATTGAGAAGGGTCTCATATCAAGGAGACTCTTAGGTAGAAATTAAGCACGGGTAGTGATTAAGTGATAAGCTGTAAATCAGAGGTTGTTTAGCTTAGAATTAATATTATCTAGTGGATTTCATTCCTGG